TGTTTTGCTTCTGTGGCAAGTCTCTTATTTGTCTCCTTTAAAGTGTCTATGTTCAGAGTTAAGGAAAAAAAGCAAAATGAAAATGTCCTGAAAATTTTAATAAAATAAATTTCTTATTAATAAAAATTATAAATAAATCATTTAATATAAATTAGAAAGTGGTGGTGTGTCTGAATTGCCAATGCTAATTTCAGCAGCAATTTCGTTAGCTTGTAAATAAACTTTAGAGCAGTGTTATAGTGAGAACACAATTGCGGTCAGAGAATATGATATTTTACCAGATGCACCCTCCACTCAAGGAATGGATATTTTCTGGAAACCTTGAAGAACACCCTAGAAAATCTATACTGTATATCAGCAGGTGGTTTTAAAGAAATTATTAACAGTTTATTTGGTTCTAGGATCCTCTGAAGAGCAGCTAATACTAAAAAACCTACTCCTTATTTCTTCACACTCTCAGAATTGACCAGTCCTGTTGTCCTGGGCTGAAAGGAGCACAGCTGACTAGGTTTTCACAAGACATGTTAAAATGTCGTGGGTGTGCGCATTGTTAGTGTCTCTATTAGACTGGTTACTCTCTAAATAAGCTTAAAATAATAAGTCTTAATTTCTACCAGTAATTCTACTACAAAACTGGCACTATTAGGTTGGAGCTAAGAGCCATCAGCAACAGATGAGGAGTTTTGTTCTCCATAACTCTTCACAGAGTTACTACCTGCATTTCCTTTGAAATTCCCAGTGTGTTCTGGAAGAAATGAAACTTCACTAATTCAGAACAATTCAGACATTAGGACTCTTAATGGACCACAAAAAAAGGAAAAAAGAAAAACTGCATTTACTCACTTCAGTGTTTCAAAGGATAAAAGAAAAACTATTGAGATCCCAGCTTCAAGACCAGATCCTGCACATCTTGCACGCAAAATGAGAATTCCCGCTGAAACATCTTAGCAGTCAGCCAAAGAAACAGACCCGAATATGTATTCAGGCACTACTGGAGTACAATGCCACAGCTACTTCCACACCAGCTTCTACCAGGGATTTATGTAAATTATTAAGCAGATTTTCAGGAGAACTGAAGACTTCCTGATCACCTCAATTACATGAAGAATCTGCCTACATGAATAATTTCCCCTCAGTGGTGACCCATTAATCTCTCCTGTAATATAAATGTGTAATTCTGAACCTTCTTAATTTTCACTGTGGAGTTTTGCAGAATTTAGGAGCCTTCAGGGCACATCCTGGGGACAACAGTCTCAAGAAACTTTGGCAGAGCATCAGTTTTCTATGAGTGTGTTTATATAAACCATTTCAAACCCTTAAAAATTCCCAGCTGGCACTGCAGGCAACAGCCCCAGTATCAAAGAGATCCAGAACATGAACTGTAGGATTTCAGACTCTTCCATTTCAAACAGATTTGAAATAGATGAACATCAATATTGAGGATGTGCTTATTTGGGAATAGGTTTAAGGATTTCCATAAAATTCTTTTTGACAATGAGGGGCAGGACTTGTCATGACTCCACACTCCATTTCACAGGCCAAGATTTCAGACTGGTTGAATGTGGGATTTTTCAAGGAGTGAAGACAAAACTGTCTTTCTTCCTTTGGCTTCACATTTCTGAAGTCAGGGGTGTAACTGGGACAGAGCTTTTCAGTCCCTTGAAGAGCCTTGATTAATATTTTGTGACAGAAGACTACAGCTGGGAGTGAAAAACCTGCTCTTCGTTGATAAAACACTGAAAATTCAAGTTCTGTGCCCTTTACACTGAAAAGACCAGCTTTAGCCAGAAGAAAACAATGAGAAATCATGTCCAGGGCTGGAAATAGTTTTTATTTGTTTCTTTGGTTGGGGGGGGGGTGGGGGGGGTGGGTAGGCAGGGATGTTTCTTATTTTTTGGTTTTTTTTCTGGTGAGGGAAGACTGTTAATAAATTCCTTCCATTGCGACACATAGAAATGGCAGAAAAGCTGTAGACTGGCTTCTGGACACCTGAGAGGCAACTCAATAGCCTAAGAGGCATCATGAGACCAAATGAAAATTGTTGCTGCTCTTTCTGTAGCCCTGGTCCATCCACCTCAGCTTTAAGCCAAAGGCAGGAGCGAGGAAGGTAAAGGTCTGCAATGACCAATTAGCTTGTGTTAATATGCAAGAGTTCAGTAGGATGCATTGAAGAAAAAAAAAAAATCATTTATTTGGAAAACTTCCCCTTTGAGTTTCCAGAAATCAATATTCCTTTACATTCCCAAGCAGCAGCACTTATCTGCAAACAAGCAAAGCAATTATTTTCAATAACCAATTCAAATCTTTAGGTAGCCAGCACAGGGCAGGCTGATATACCAAAATCAAAAAAGTGACCCAGAAAAAGCACTCAGAACTAGGCAGATGCAAAATGTTCAGGAGGGCTGTTCCAAAATTTGCAGGGATTGAAACTCTTTGTCAGGCTTCAAACACAGTATGAGTTATGAGTAAATTTACACACCACTGACTCAGAAGAAACAAATTACATTTCCTGATACATGATGTCAGCTTGAAGGAATAAAAGTGCAAAAATGTATATACAAGGTTTAGCAGTTTCTTCTGATTTCTCTCAGGTTGTGTCCTGTAACATCAAAAAAGGCCTGTATTTTTACATCAAACAAAGGGATGATCTAGGAACCAACAACTCAGATTTAAGATCTACCATACACCAGTTAAATGCAATGTCACAAGGGTTACTGGAAGTGGAGAACAATTCAAGGGATTATCAATAACAGGGAAGAACAGACCCACCCTGGTAAATGCTTTCTGAGCTCCTGGGGACAGTTTCTGAAATGGAATGTTGCATCCAGCCTTTTAGAAATCAACAATTAAAAAGAAAATCAACAACAGAACTACCAGGGTTGCTACAAGAAGAATCAGTATTTCAAGAAGGGGAGGGAAACACCTCAATTTATAAAACTTGAAGGAAAGAAATAAACTTATTTCTCCTGGCTCCCTGGAATTCAGTGTTACTTACCAGCAAGTGGACTCATGGTTTTTGTCCCTATATCCACAGTGGCCTTGGCTCTGATCTTTCCTTGTGAGTATTTAATCAATGCTATGCCAAAAGTCCACCACTTCAGTTCAAACAGCAGTCCTTAATGCCTGAAAATCCAACTCACTGTTGATGTAAAGTTACCAATATTGGGGTGAGGGGCAATTATAAAAAATTTTAACAACAGCAGCTGAAATGTATGAGAAATAAATGTATTTGTTTGTTCAATTCGTTGTTTTCACAGTGAGAGCTTCATAATAGTCTGTAAAATTTTTCCTGTTTCAGTGAAACTGAGATTCTTCCCTCTGAGTTCAAGTGGGAGTGGATGGGGCCCTGAATTTGAAACATGGAATCAGTTTTGAAGAAATGTTATAAGGATTTTGTTCAGATGAACACATATATGTTGAAAATGTTGCTGTGGTGTCATGCAGAAATGAAATAATGCAGCATGTGGACCATGTAAAAAAAGCTTATCTTTTATTAATGAGTCTGTTAGTACTAATGTAGCTTATTTCTGCAGCACACAAATAATTTTAATTTGAATTTTCTTCTTTCAGGACCAGGGCAATGGAATGCTCCTGTTGCTCCAAAAAGTGCATTCGATAAGGATTGCTTGGCTCACAGGAAACACAGCTCACTGGAAATGCACACATTTTTGTCTTTTTCAACCATGGGTGCTTGCCTTTATACATGGCACAAGGAGACAGAAACTGCAGTTATGATGATGTTTTTTTCTTCTGGTGCTTTTTCCACTAATGCACCATTAACTCTTTATAAGGCTCACCATTCCAGTCCTATGATGAGCACTGTACTTCCTGTCTAATTCAATTAGTGTGTTTATCCTTTCAGACTCTTGCTGGCACCTGAGTAGAATTTTGATGATATAGGGGATACCTGGGGGAGTACAGACACCTTCCACTGCCATGCAGGACTGCAACACTAAAAGTCACAAGAGAGAGAACTACTATCTGCGCACATCTCCCCAGTAGATCCTGGGGATAATACCAGTTGTGTCATGGTTTAAGAGAAGCTGATAAAAGGAAACAAAATTTATTTTTCTTGGCAATTTTTTTTTATTTTTACCTCTCCTTTTCATTTTTTGCATTCTATTTTATTCTAAAGTTTGCCTTGCAAATCAGCAGGTATAAATTCCTATCTCTTGCTCAGGTGCTGAAAGGGCCACACACGTCATTAAATTCTTCACCAAAAAAACTTGAACTGTTACACCCTGGAGGTTTGCAGTGATGAGTCTCTCAAGCACAAATCCAGCAGATATTCACCCTCAAAGCCAAGGAAACACAGTTGGGTTGGAAAAGGACATGAGTATTGAGGGATATGACTTCAGGGAATCTCTCGTATTCCAAACCTCAAAGTTGTAAGAACCTCTTACAGCAACAGGGTTGATTTTGCCCATTTAAAACACGCAAGAAAATGACAGGTAAGAATTATCCTGATAGCACATCAGACAGTAACCAGAAGGATAAATGACCTCTGTGGGAGGAAGAAGTGCCTTTGTATCCCAGAGAACACGATGTTCAGGAAGCGCTGCTGTGCCTGGCTCAGCAGGGTGAGCATTTCACACCACTGACTGACAGTCATTTTGACAGTCAGGCTGCCACTGGCTGGTGTCAGGTTTTAATTTCACAACCCCCAGGCACAACAGCACTACTCTCCAGATCATGGGGAGCATCACCTATTTAGCACTGGCATCCTGAACTCTCTCTAACATCTGCCAACATCTGTCCCCATCAGGTGCAAGGGGAGGACATCAAGCTGGAGAGTGTTTTCCCACTCACCAGGGAATACCCTCGTTTTGATTTGCACCTTCTCATGTTAACCTCACTCAGGTTCCCAGGCATTCATGGTTTCGCTTGTTTTCTTTATGAAACAGATGAAAGTTTGGCAGCAGCTGGCCACATGCAGCTGTGGCAAGTCCTTGAAAGGTTCTCTCTTACTTCTGGTTATGGATCAAAGATGGGGAGTTTTTTCATTCTGAAATCATTCCTAAATCAACCAGCTGCTTTGGGTTCCACCTGTGTGCCACTGCTGATGGCTCAGCAATATTTAATTGGTACCTTTCACCTTCATGATGCATCTTCAGCATCTCTTGTTGAGAATCTCCAGAATCTCTGTTTCAAACTGCATAAACTTCAGCATAACAAACCAAGAAATATTCACAAATGCCTACCTAATAACTAGGAGATCTTTGGACACCTCTCAAGATGTTTAAAGACCATTGCAGTATAATTTACAAAGATTAAAAACAACTAATTAGTTCTATTATCTAAAATAAAGCAGGCATAAAACATGCCTGCTAAATCTGTATTAGTAGAAGATTTTCTAACATGCTGGTGTTTGTATTACTTATACCCTAAAAGCACTATAGTTGGTATGTTACTGTGCTCTTCCTTGCTAGAAATCAGGGCCCAGTTATGGCTAATTTGGAGTTCCCAAACTTTGCTTCTAAAGGAAGAAAGGACAAGTTTGAGGACTGCAGTGTCCTGAATGCTCAAAAGGAGCACTGAAAATCATATCATAGTATCTTTTTCACTGCTAAGGAGCTTCTACCACTTCGCTTACACAGATTTTATTATAGCACTGGCTACCCCCATTCAGGTAAAATTCCCAAGGGAGAGTGATGGGATTTGATAGAAAAGAAATTAACCCTGAATTAGAGGGTACAATGCTCATAATCCCTCTTTTGGCGTGCAGTTGAGCCAGGAAGTTAGGGGTAAGCCTTTGACCAGATGTCAGGTGCTCTTCCAGTAGATCCTCAGAGTAAGCCTCCAGCTTAGACACAAGGAAGTATCAGGATGCTGCTGTACTGGATCCATGACTGTGGATAAAAAAACAGCTTACGTGGCTCTGAAGACTCCAAAGTAGGAAAAGGAGTTTATGAGGACAAAGAGGAGGGGACGCAACTTGAAAAATAAAAAGAAAGCACATCCTGAGAAATAAATTTATGATATTTTGCCAAGACACAGAGGAAATATAAAATGAGGAAATATCTTGCCTTCTGAAAGACAAGCAAAGAGATTTATATCTATACCTAACTATATATATATAGTATCTTTATTTGATTTCAGAGTATTCATTTTTGATTCTCTCTTCAAGACATTGTAAGCAGGATGAAAAGCTATGCATTTTGGCTTTTTCCTACAGGAATAAAGTCCCATAACATGAATCTCTTAGTCTAACATGAATATCTTATTCACAATGGAATTTTTTTTATCTCAACTTGCTTCCCAAGGCGTCTTCGAGATGATGATCGATCAATAAACGGTTGAACAGTCTGTTACTTACTTTTCCTTTCATTATCTGGTGAAAGACCTGTACCAACTACACACAACAGTGCCAGTAGAATAAAATACCTCTTCTTTCACTGAGATGCACATTGCTAAATATAGATTTTACCAAACTGCTTGTTTCTAAGTTCATAGGACTCACTCCCACTGTTTCTCAGTGGCTCCTTCTCATCTCCCATGTCGTTGTCTTTCATCTGTGCAAAATAGGCAGGAGAAGCTTTGCACTCATAGTGCCTGTCAAGGGATTTGAGGTGGATCAGCATGTGAAGGGCATAGGCAAGGACCAGCAGCAAGATCAGGGACATGACCAGCCCCATCAGAATTGCTGGAGAGAAGAAGGATGCACAGTCCTTTGCATAGGCAAAACGTCCTTCCTGGATGTTAAAACCTTGGATCTACAAGGAGAACAAGAGAGCTCATGTTAAATGAGGTACCTGTGTTCCATTACTTTGCTCATGATGGCAATAAGAATTTCTAATTTAATACCTCCACATTGCAAATTTGTACCTCCCTGTGCTGGCTCAGAGTTAATCCAGGTCAGTCTTCTAGAAACCACCAGCTATTCTAATCCCCTCCGCTCTGCTGCCCAAAGGATTTGTAGCTGTGTTTGAAACAAAATCTTCTCTTGATGGCTCACAATGTTTAATTGGTGCCTTTCACCTTAATGGTGTATTTCCAGCATCACTTGTTGAGGGTCTCCAGAGTCTCTATTTCAAACTGCATAAATCTCAATCAGGAAATATTTTCAACAACAAACCAGGAAATATTTTTAAATGCCTACCCTTGAATTAGGTTTTTCTCACCAGATTCATGTGTGTAGTATTTGACAGCAAAACAGCTACACTACAGGAATCTGCATCCAACTGTGGAAAACACCAAGTTTTACTTGTGGCTTCAGCTCTAATATGAAGTTTACCACACTGGCATTCAGAGTATTGTGCCCGTTCCATTAAATCAGCCCATGGGCATTTATCATATGGTGAGAAAAAGGGGACCAGCTTTCCTTCTCAATTCCTTTTCAGCTCTTCATGTCCTTTACATACCTTCATGACTTAGGTATGTAAAAGCAAGATGCTCTAGTCCAGCCATCTGAGACTCCCTCATTGCCAAACACAGAAAACTTGGCACTTTCAGAAGATTATTAATCTCATCCTAAAATAAAGACTTAAGACGAGTCAGAGGAATTATCCACTAGCTTTAGAGGCAGGCTGAGGTGACTATAATAAGGCCACAGGGTTAAAATTCCTAGGCATCAAAAGTTAAGTGAGATGAATTCTGTACCTGGTGTCTGATGCTGTTATTGATGCTGTGTTTAGTCGCTCTGCTCAGAAAGATGCAACACTGGAAGTTAAATTCTTCCCCTACACTAAAGGGAACACAGCAGAAGACTATAGAAAATCTATATTGCCCTTAATTTCCTTTGACAGGAAGGTAAAGAAAATAATTCAAGTCCTCATTTCAATTTTGTGTTCCACGGAAATCCCACAGACTGTACATAGAAGGTCATTATATTTCCTTGGCAGCAAAAGGCCAAAACTTCCCATCAATCTACCTACAGGTTCCCTTGAGCCTAATTCCATGATGTTACCTGGAAATCAATAAAAGTGACTTCCCAGAGCTGTGAGAGGTCATTTTCAGAGCTGGGAATGAGGAGAGCATCGTATCTCTGCAGGCTGCTCACGTGGTCACAGTGGTATGAGTAAGTTGCTGGTGCGTGGATTCGGGTCACATTGAACGTCGCCTGCACTGAGTGGTTGTAGAGCAGCTGCAGCCTGTGCAGGCTGAACCAGTTCTGAACAGACAGCTGGTAATAGCTGGTGGTCAGCAATAACCTGGAAACATCGTGTGGGGAGAGAGGTGAGTAGGAAGACAAGTCAAAGTGTTCCACCTGTTGAATTCGCACATTGAACACTCTTAGGAGACTCCCTGGTATCACCAGTTTATATCAGTGTGAGCTCTAGATCCTTCCACAGAGTCTGGAAAGTGAGGAAGAGCTTTACATGGAGGTGGCAGAGCCCTCGAACAGCTGCCCAGGGAGAGTGTGGAGTCTGCCTCTCTGGATACGTTCCAGACCCATCTGAACATGTTCCTGTGCTCCAAGTGACCCTGCCAAGGCAGAGAGTTGGAGCAGGTGATCTCCAGAGGTCCCTTCCAACCCTAAAAATTCTGTGTTTTGAGGTTGTTCATTGTTGCAGCTGAAGGAGTTTGCTCCTTGCTACTTGATCTCCCACACAGTAAGAGGATTTTGAGGGATTTTTCCTAAATGGCTGAGCAAAATATATTTAACACTGGTATTGTACTTCCATCCAAGGTATGGGAAGTTAATTACCATGAAACGCTGTTTTTTTCTGTCACCAAGAAGCAAACACCAAGCAAGTCAAAGTTTGATGCCTGAACAGCCCACACTATCAGTTCTTGACATAAAATTCCCAAGAAAAATGTAGTAAATCAGCAAAGTTTAGCTAAAATCTCCAACATAGGAAGAGTCTATACAAAACAGATGACCCAAACTTTTCCCATTAATAGAAAAGTCAACAAAGGAGAAAAAATGCCTTAAAACAAGGCAGGCAAATGATAGGCATACTGAATGCAGGTGTCTCAATTATGCAATCAACAGTTTCTATCACATTATTTTTGCTTTAAAAAAATTCACTTTAATCCTACAAGTAACTGCATAACAATGTATATTCTCTGGTTGGGTTTTTTTGCCGTATAAACTTACCTGATAACTAGTCCCTTTAGATTGCCAATGTCCCCAAACTTCAGAGAAAGCCTAGGTCAAAAAGCAAGTTATATCAGGCTAGGAAAAAAATTCAGAAATCTTCAGAGATTAAAGTAGCACTAAAGATTAAACTCAGTTATACCTGGAGCCTTTTGCTCAGTATACTCTTAAAGCTAGTAAGAAAAAAAACCTGGAAGGATTAAATTTTCCTCCAGTGAAATCTACTAGTTTGCCTGCAGTTTGAAATGAGGTCTAAACTGTCCAGAAAGAGTAGAAATGCATGTTTAACTTCCAGCACAATTAAATCCCATTGCTTTCCACATCAGTTGACAACCAGGTTCAGTAGATCTCTATTCTCCTTTTCAAGCCATATCATCTCAGTCAAGTATCACCTCTGTATGTCATCAGAAAGTGTAAACACACACATTATTCTCATCTTTTTAAATATCAGTGCATAAAAAATGTAGATGTCACTGGAGTTCAAATTCCACACATATACATCATTAGAGCCACATAAGTACCCTGACTGTGAGGTCACCTGCAGTGAGCATGGGCATCTGAACTTTGCTAAATTAACCTATCAGCTTAATTAATGCACATTAATTAATACATAACTAAGTGGAATATATTGTTTTATCACTTAATACTAATATTTTACATCTTGAAACCTGCACAGAGATTCTTGCTGTCCACATAAGACAGAAACAAAACACAGTGAAAAAATACAGCATCTGAAAGACTTCCAAAATTTAAGCTGAAGAATATATTTTAAAAAAAACCAACCAACCAAAACAAAACATCACACAAAATAAAACAAAAAAAAGCCCAAAACAAATAGACAAAAAAAATCCCTAAACAGCTAGCCCTATGATTTCATAGAAAATCTAGACTTCAAGACTTCTTGTACCTTGACTAACACTGGTCCAATAAACTAGGACACTGAATCCAGACTATCCCTCCCTTTATTGAAAAGGGAAATCATAATAGTTGAGGATTAGCCACAGGCAAATACGGCATTCAACTAAGAAAAAAATGCAGGTTGGATTATTATACGCCGATAGCAAATGAATATATGTTTGGTGTCTAATATTTGTTCCTGGCACTGGCTACTTTGCACTGATTACACAGCATACACCAGCCTGAAAGACAAGAGAGTCTTAACAATGAAGGCTGGAGAAGGGAGAATTCTGAGGAATTTTTTCTGATGTAAAAAAACTGAGCAATTCACCATGTGAGGGCTCCGCCATCAGCTGGTTTAATTTAGGCTGGTCCGTCCTTAAAACTGAGATTACAGAGCAACATTCAAGCAAGTTTTCCCCTTTCTTCTCTGTCACCAGCATTGTTTTAGTCACAGACCCAAAACACAAGAGAATCATACATTATTTTTCTCCCACATAGAGTTAGGGCAAGTCCTAATTTCTTAGAAATCTGTATTTACAAAATGAAGCCTCTATAGTAGTAAGACTACAGAGGTACCTGTGACAGACAGGTAGACAGAGTAACCTGCTTCTCTAACAGTCTCCAAATAGCAGCTCCAGAAGGAGTTTGCAGACCACAAAAAAACATTGTCCTTCTGATTTTCCAGGTCTTATGAACAACTATAAAACTATTCTTTGTGTTCTGAAACCCTTAATTTTGCATTCTATTACATTGCAAAAATTACTAATCAGAGCAAGATTATTTCCAAATTGTAGACCAGAAATGAGGACAGAAGGTTTATTACTTTTTATTTCTAAAATAACTTTCTTCCATTCTCTACCTCTCTTTGACAGGTAGAGAGTAGGGAGAACTAATGCATTAGTTCACATGCTGATGATATAATATTCAGACTGCCCTCGCTGAACATTATGATACTACAGGCAAAGTCCTAGTTTCTTTTTCAATTTTACTTTTAGTTTTCTGGCATTTCTCAGCAAAATGTCTGTGCATCTTGGGTTATCCTTTGCAGCTGTGTTATCAGAAAGAGGTAATACTTTCTGTGGAAACATATTTAGGTGTGCAGGTGAAATCTGTATAGGATTAAATACAGACCCACATCCTGTACAGTACTGTTGGCACACCTCCTGTGAAGAGGTAAGTAGTCACACACAGCCCAAAGCCCCTATATTCAGCATAGAACCCATTCTTCAGCCTCCCAAGCAATTGTCTAAAACAGCTGGAAACCAAGCAGATCAGCAGCTGGAGCCTCAAAGGCCCTAAGAGCAAAGTTGGCCAGCCCTAAGGAGTGACCACACCGCTGCAACAGCGTGTGTGCCCCATGAAAAGCTGGATTCAAAGGATATAACCCCTGCTGTCACAATGGCAGAACATTTAGGAAAGAGCCCTGGGGCTCTGCAAGGTCAGTTTTCCTTCAGTATGTACTTCCTAGACTTGTTATCCAGCACCAGCTCCACTGACATAGCAGAATTCCACCTTACATTGCACTGTCTTCACTGCAGTTCGAGTCTCCAACATCCACCGTTGCATGGACACCAAATGTCTTCTCTGTCAAGTCCAGCTGAGTGTGGTTTTCAAGCCTGATCATGATCCTCTTGGCCCAGAAGAGGATGCAGGGGATGCCATTGACCATGACGTTGAGTGGGTTGTGGTGGCTGTGGGAGAACTGCCTCCAGAATGCTCCTTCCCACTGCCCTTCCCTGCTGAAGTTGTGACTGACAACCTGGGGAACCACACAAAAGATGGCTATCAGAAGGTGTGCATTTCAGGATTTGCTCTTCATCCTACCAGAATAAATGATGTTGCGTATCTGCGACACCTGGAAGAATTACTTCAATACACTGAAAAGGACTCAGCTTGGGCCAAGGACACAGCCTACCATGCTGAAGGCACATTTAGGAGCGGTCTAGGTGAAAGAAATGTCCAAGTTTACACCTGCCTGCAGGTAGTTTGGCTCCTAATGGCTTTAAAATCAGGAAAATACCTACTGCAAAACAGGATGGCTTAAGTGTGGATCCCTGCCTTTACAAAATCAGTTGCAGGGTTAAAACCTGGGGACTGCAGCATCCACGTCATCTGGAAAGATTAGAGAAATGTTACCCCTTCTAAGCCAAATTTCATAGCGAAAAGACAATTTGGCTGTCAGGCAATATAATTTGAGACAGTGACTTAGAGCTCTGCAAGGACTTAAAAATTTAACTGCCATTTCCAGATTTCAAACTCAAATTTCCAGACACCAGCTCTGCCCCACTTATGCACATCCTATTGGAATAGGGTAACACACACAGTGTCTGCATGGCTGGCTTTTCCACATCATATGATTTAGCAAGTTCAAATCAAAAACAAGAGAGGTTTCTGAGTCCCAGTCATAAACAGCATCTTACCAGGCTCCAAAAGGGACACAGTTAAGCCACAAAGCTTTGTCTTGGCTTAAAGAGATTTTTTTTTTTTTCTGCTGTTCAGATTAGCAAATCATGTCTCTCAGCTCAGACCCTGAAAGATCACTTTTGATACTGGACCTTATACACATGGCAAAAGGGTGCTTTAGAATTAAAATTAGTAAGTACTGACAGCAACAAGCCCAAAGCAAATCAAGATCGTGGGGAGAAGATGTGGTAAGTGACTATGACTGTGATCATATAAATGATAAGGCTGTCTTCTCATAAGTACAGATGAAGGAGATTTAATCAACATTTTACTTACGTCAGAGTGCATCACTTTTGGTGAGCTTCTTTTGGTAACGGAGCCTCTTATGGTCAGTTTTTGACAAGATCTACAGCCTGGTCTCAGGAAAAACTCTCACTGAAAATATGAGGTTTTGCTACAGCTGTTCATTTAGTACCAAATGATATAAGTACAAGACTGGCCACAGCAGCCAAATGTCCCTGTATGGACTAGGGACATAAGGATTTGGTTCTTTCAGAAAGACCCTGTGCCCAAACCCATGACAGGTCAGCACCAGCAACAGCACCTGAAGTCTCACCTCACTCCTCAAAAAAGCAGAGGACACCTGGTACAGCAGGCCATATCACAACGGTATAGACAGTTTTGTTGGCTGTTTCTAGTAAACAATGTAAAAAGAGTTTAATTCAGCAATGTAAATTAAAAGATCTAAATATGCTATGAAAAGACTCTACAGATCCATTACCTGTGCAATTGCCACTTGACTGACATTCACTTCTGGCCTCATGCCACCTTGGTAATGTTGACCTGCAGAAGAAAGAGTGTTATCAGCATTATTAGTATACTATAAACACCCAGTCATTTACAAAGGCATAATTTTTGCACGTTCTTATGCAAACAACAATTATCCCTGCACAAAATGTGTATGTATGAATGATTCTATCTTGGAAAATACCTGACTTATTCCAAATATTGTCTTCAATATTTGTTTTCTAGTTTACCTTACTTGTTCAAAACTGGTTCCTCTTCTTCTCACTGAACATCTGGGAGGAACTCCAGTGTCCCAGAATTACAGGATTCAGTCCATATCTGTATTTATTCATCGCAAACACAGCAAAAGCTGCTTGTTTTCCTCGTACAGCAAACTGTCATCAAAGGGTGTGTGTTGAATTGCATGACAAAAGCATCTTAACTGTGAGTAGGAACTTCTTTCCATGCACCACCAGAGACAGGAAGATGTGACAAACAACCTGATGGCCCAACTGCTTGCCAGGAGGGAAAAGTTTCACGACAACAGGTCGTTTCATAGACATTCTCAAAGCTCTATCCTTCAAACACTTAATACTGTTTTCATTTGGTTAAAAAGTGAATGCTTTTGTCTTCCCCATTCTCACTGCATCTGAGTTGGACAGCAAATTATTTTTTTAAAACAGACAAATCCTTAAAATGGTGTTTTTTAATGGGGGATATGCTTTAACAAAACATATGTCAGAAGAGTCACTAATGCCTGCAGAAGCAACATCTGGGAATAAAACCTTTTACAGCCACACTAACAGAACCAGTATCCAGGGGTTCAGCCCACTGAAGGCCTTACCATTTCTCTCCAGAGAATCTTGATCTGAGAATTCATGTGAACTAGAAAAGAGGAGAAAAATACTTATTTTACACCATCTGGATTTAAAATCTGCATCAAGTTTACTGGGGACAACATCTGTTACTACTTTGTTCCATAAAACATTCAAAATGTAACTCAGGTACTTGGCTTGGTAATATCACAGGAACAAGGCAAATTAATCCAAACCTGCTAAACCCAGGCTAAAAATGCCTAATTTTCAGAGATTCCTTGGGTGGATCAGCCCTGACAGGTTTTCCCTGCCCAAAAGGCTCCAAAAGGCTTTACCCTTACCAAAAGGCTTCTCTCTTGTCCTGTTCCACAGGACATCCAGGACATCAGTTCTAGATTAGAGACAGAATCAGTTCCAGCCCACAAGCAGAGGAACACAAGGACCCTGCCATACCCTTGTTCCGCAGTGAGGATCAGAAGAAACATGTTTAATTCCCTCAGGATAGATCAATTGCAGTGGGCTAACATGTCTTAAGCCCAGAATTACAGCCATTTGAAGATAGTTCCTGAATGGTTCCAAGCCATACCATATCCCATAGAAGTCAGCTGCAAGGCAGAGTGTGGGTAAAGTACATCTCAAATGTCAACTACCAGGCTCATGAAATTTTCAGCATTTGATGTTCTTCTTAGTGTAAATCTCCAGCTGGTAGGGCCAGACCTGCCCCAGAGCCACTAAACATGGAAATACATTTCCATCTTCTTCCCTTGCCTTGTTTCTTACTCCTTTTCCAACCCACCCCAGGAGCAAAGTTCTTGAAAATATATACACTAAGACCAGCATATAAGGACTAGGAATAAGTCTAGCTTTCAGTATTTATGAGCAAATTGCACTGTAAAGTATTGGAATTGTAAAGTCAAGACTTGGCATTCCTGGGGAGTCCTTGTACAGCTGGGTGAAACCACTCCCCGCCTGACTCTGGACAGGGGGATCTGTGTTACCCACTAGCAGGAGTGATTCCAACCTAATTTCCATCATACCATCCTTAATGGCGGATAAATATGAGTCCAAACAACATGGGATGGCACAGAGACTACCCTGCTTTCTGTCAAGTTGGAAGAACCTTATAAAGACCTTATGCTAAAAAATATCTCTGTGGGTGACACTGTTTAAAATTATTCTAGCACGTTTATTTACAGTTTTATTCATTCAACTTTCAGAGTGGGTCCCCCTTTCTCCCACTGCCCTTTGGGTGACAAGGTTAGTGCTGGAAGCAGTTCTTCAAGATGCTGGAAGCTGCCCATGCTAACAGCTTTCAGAGATGGTTGGAAATACCAGATTTTGACACACAGGTAATAAAAGATGTGACCACAATGGACCAAACCTTGTTTTCTTGCTCAGACAAAACTCTCTCTTAGGTTGTTTTACGATTAGGAACATTTTTGTAATCTGATGCATCCCTTTTTGTCTTTTCTAGTCTTTCTTCATGACAGATTGTGCCTTCAGGCTGGAAAAGGCAAATGTGGGGGAATTTTTTGCATGGTAAGAGCTACAAAAACAAGGCACGTCAAAAGGAAACTAATCTAAATTATTTAGTTATACTAACTTTAGTTATATTTACTTTTACCTATGTATATCAAGTTATGCTTAGTTATACTTTTAACTCCTCCCTATATGCACAGGTAAACTCCCATAGCCCACTACTCCAGTTGGGAAATCACAGACTAAAACACTGGAGTGGGAGAAGATTGGTGGCAAATTGTGCAATTCACTTAATTCCTGAACCAGACTCAAAAGGTTTTCATGCTGCTCTGGGAAGAAGAAGGGTTTATTTGGGGGTTGTGATTAAAAAAACCCTGAATAACTCCTGGCTGCTCCACATGCCACAGCCGCTCTGGAAGAGATATCGAGTCTCTGTTTTCAGCATGACGAAACTGAGACACAGATGAATATGCACAGCTGATGAAATATTCATGTTTCCATGAGGAACTGCAGTGCAGAGAGTGACCTGGGAACCACCACGAAGTGCCACAGCATGATAGACACCATCAGGCTGCAAGGGAAGCACCTCCAGCTTGGTCCTCTTGTTAATTACCCTGTTAATTAACAGTTCGTTCCTCCTGCACAATGCATGGATCTCTGTTAGGGGAAGGAAGTCCATTATCCCCCATCACTGGGGCACAGCCAGTTTGTGGCTGGCAGAGCCAAGAATCTAGGCAAGCCCAGGCTGCTGTTGATGTTATGGGGTCTGTCAGTTGCCTCTGACAACCACAGCCCCGAGGTGTCATGGTTTTGTGATCCGTGACAGGGATGGGTGGCTGCCCATGTCGATCATGACGTCACAACAGCTTTCCCAAGCAAAAGGCAAGCTGGGGAATCAGAGGCAATCCCTGGCACCCAAAGCCCTTTCATCCTCAGCTGGAGCATGTTTCACAGAACAGTAGTATTGAAAGCAAAAAATGTGAAAATTTTTTAAAAATATATATTCCCTTTTAATTATAAAAATGTTCATTACATGTACAAGAGATAGGAAACCAGCTAGCGCTTACTCTCCACTGCAAAACTGACAGCAAACCAATTTTTAGCACACTAAATTAAAGAATAGCCTTTCAAATTTATCATTTTTTTAATCAGACACTCTTACCCTGACACTTCAAATTCAGTTGCTCACAGGGTATATATTTCAATATTTTTCCTTAGCAACTTGTAAATAACTGGCATGTATGTTGTATCTTTAATTTACCATACCAAGTATGTTAGAGGAACCCACATGAAATTGGATTAGCCCTAATACAAAGCACTGGAATGACTAATCACTATGTAAAACCCAATTAAATAAGATTATAAGCACAAAGAAGTGTAAATTCCCTCTTATCAGATGACATTATCCATCTACATAAGATAACCAAGTCTCGCTTGTTTGTCCGAAAAAGCTTATAAAGACTCCAGCTCTTGAGGACTTCCATGTAAAGAGTGCTTTCTCTGCTCAGATGAACCACAGGAATAATCCTGGCATTCAACAGGGGTTGAATGTGGAGGCCACAGGAATTTTTCGTGTCATATTCACTCTTTCCGTCTTCATATTACTGTTCTGATAAACTGCACCAGATGGGAAAATATTCTCCACCTCTACAGAAACAGTATTTGCAGTACTTCAGAGTCATCTCTCTAATACTAATATTGCACAGTGGAAGAATTCCTCACTGGCTGCTGATCTAGTTTCACTTAATTTATGAGCATTTTGTTGGAAAATAACATATGAACATTCAAACACGCTAAAAACAAGTCATGACAAAAGGTGTCAAAGCACCTGGTGGCAATGCACTGGTTGTAGTCCTAGGGACACTTGCCACATAGAATTTCAATGAAGTTATTAACACTATAAACGTGTACACCTGGAACACCAGATTCAGGGAAAGAGATAGTCCCCTCTAAGAAATATCCTGGCAAAAAATGTTACTGAGTTTTAAATGCCTCTGTATAAGTCCTATCAACTAGAAATATCTACAAACCCACACAATTCTTATAGTTTTCTAATGTGTGTTTTGTCACACAGAGACAGATTTACATAACTATTTTACTCATTGCTGGGTTTTGATCTGCAGTTTAATGGATGTCCAACTAGGACTGGACCAGAACAAGATACTTAGGCTTTCATTTTTGATAAAAAAGAACCCAAAATCCTGAGGTCATAGAATCTAGCAAATTAACATTGTGCAGGCACAATCCCACTTCCAGTGAGGAAAAATCCCCATTTAATTCACTGGGATCCAGGTCACAACTTCTGTTAATATTTATTGTAAAAAAGTTCAGGCGATGCTCCTCTGCTTGCTCTCTCTCAGATTCTGGTCTGATTGCAAAAAAAAAAAAAAAGAAAGCAGAATTATGCTAAGAGGAACAGTAAGAGAGCTGAAAACTGGCAGAGGAGAGCAGCAAGTGAGCTATTTAGATGAAAACATATTGTAGTACTTATCGGTAACTGACTACCAGATCTCTTAATACAAGCTTAAGCAAATCACCACATGTCCTTCTTGCCTTAAAATGAACAGATTTTACTGCCAGCTGCAACCTCCATCAGCATATTTGTTCTGTGTGTTACTGGTGACTCTGGGCATGATTCAACTCATACAGCTCAGGTTGTTTTCACTGTCATAATACTTGGCTCTACGAAGTACCTTCTTTCCCCTGCTATGATTTGGGCTTATTATTTATATTTCATTAGAGAGTGAAACATCACTAGTGATAATAAATCCAAATCTCCAGTAATTTTGTAAGTTTAATACTCCTTTGCAATACTGAATTCATGCTTCAAATATCCATTCTACACCAGTAGAATATTTCAGCACCTTACTTTCACATTCTTGCTGTTATTCTATTTATAACTTCATTTTCACACAGACCAGGGAAAGTCAGTGTGAGAGTCATTAAAACGTAATGAAATGTAAGATAGATGCACAGAAACCACTTCTTTTAAAGCCATGTTTATAAAATTGCTTTAAAGTTACATCATTAGCTCACTGTGTACTTCAAAATAATTAATTTCTGTATTAGCCCCAGGTGCTTTCAAACCTGAAAAGAAAATTACAAGCATGTCCTGACACTCCAAACTGCGACTGAATCCACTTCCATAGAGCACAAATGACAGCAATTAAAACCTGGGCTCGCTCAAGTTTGTCACCACACACCCAGTCACTGACCTGTTCCCTGACGTCACAGTCGTTTGCTCCACGGACACCCCGGATCCCACACACAGGAACAGCAGTAGGGACCTCAGGGCAGCGTTTCGTTCCATTGGGAAGGGAGGCAGTGGCTCCACACCCGGCACATCTGCGGCTCTGGTCCAGCTCTGCCGCGTGATGGGGGAGGATCCACCACCAGAGAAATCCTCTGTGTGCTGGGATTTCTCCCCAAGGCAAACACCTGGCACGTTCCAGCTGCCCTGAGAAGAATGAATGAACACACAACCCGGGGAAACTGTGCCGGGATGCGAGCTGCTTGTTAAGGAAAACAAAAAAAACCATACAATCAGATGGGCTCTGAAATCCCTCTGCAGAGCACTCCTCATCTGTACTTAACCCTCACCTCAGAGGAAGGGGACAGTGCTGCCTACAAATAGCTCTGAAACTTCTCCTTCTGTACGATAATCAGAGGAAGAATTACATGTATTTTCAAGACTTACAATACCTTAACCATACAGATGTGAAGGTATTTATTGCAAGCTTTGAAGTCAAATATTTGGAAGCAATTTCCTTTCTTCAGCACTATTTCAGTTTTTGTGTGTGTTCAGCTTTCTGGCTCAGTTGTTTCTACACTCAGAACGACAAAATGGTTTGGGTTGTGAGGACCCTTAAAGATCACCTAATTCCAAAACCTTTAAATATCAGGCAGGACACAGTCATATACCAATCTATAGGTACATACATACCCAGACACCCACTCCTTCCTTGCTACCTCCTGATGTGATCACCAGTGAAGCCTCACTTTGCTAACTAGGAGGTTCTGTCTGTTGCATTCCAGATATTAGAAAAAGATTGGGGCTTTAGCATCACAGCTATTAGGAAGGATTTGCCATCTTAATTCATTTCTCCCTCTGGGATACAGAGGGTATATCCGCTAATCTTAAAAACCTCCCAGCAGCTTGTCCTCAGCAGTACTGCTTCTATCCAATTTAAGGAGGAATAAAGATACTTATGTGAGAATCCTAGATTGAAAAATGGGATGAGGGAATGTGGGATTAAGCAATAACCACTTGAAAATAACCTCCAGATTTTCTGTGAAGCACCAGGAAAGTATGATGCTAAACTCTGAACAATTACTCCAGTAAGGAGACAGGGCTCAAGGAAAATTTCAAGAGGCACAACTGTCACACACTCCTAAAAACTGTGAAGTCACTGATGCCACAGTCCTGATCAATGCCTCAATACTTCTGACTCCTAAATAAGTGAGAGGAAAAATGAACAAAATGAAAAATAATGTCAGTTTGCTCAGAACCAAAGGGGGGATTTGCAAACAACCAAGAAAGCACCTAACACCAAATTGCTAACACAGGTTAAACCAGAATAAATCAGTGAAAATATATTGATTTCCTCACTGTACATTAATACAATGGGTGCTGATAGGAAATCGTTAACCAGCAATATTCTGAAATAATGATAGAAGCAAAGAAGTCTTTTCTTGCCTCTTGACACAATAATAATAATAGCAACAATAATATTAAACATTTGATACTGTTCTTAAAAATGCTCACCACCTCGTCACCCAGCCCAGAGCACTGAGTGCCACATCCTTGGACACCTCCAGGGATGGGTACCCCATCACCTCCCTGGGCAGCCCCTTCCAATGCCTGACCACCCTTTCCAGGATAGAATTCCTCCTGATGTCCAACCTGACCTTCCCTTGGCACGGTCTGAGGTCCTTTCTTCTTGTCCTGTCGCCACAGCTAAGTTTACAGCCTATGAGGTGGGCTAAGGCAGGCTAAAAGTGGCCAGTATTCTACATAAGAGGATTAAACTGCTGTTTGTCACCATTTTTCCCCCCCTCACTTTGCAAGGAGATTTTGCTTCTGATTACTCCTCTGCAAAATTCCTCCTTTGATGATTAGGCAGCAAGGTATCATTTCTTTGTTGTTCATTTAGCACTGAGGCAACTTAGACATTTCCTCCAGCAACAAGGAGCATAGCAGACATTACTTTAAACACTGCTCCTTTTTTTTGAGAGATATCTCTCAGAAAGTGTAATTACAATCACTTCAAAGTCATTATATTCAGTGTGGAGGCTCTTATGAGTGTTGGCTCTTCGGGCACACAAACTCATTTCCAGGGGTTTGTAGTTACCTTCAGCTCACATGTCAGGTCACCATGAGTTGAGCAGCTTTCTATATCAACATGTCTCAAGCAAAGTGTGAGGTATCAGACACCTTACAGGTGTCAGCACTGAATGTATCATTCACCTTTTCAGTCTGAGTCATCGTTGTTCCTCTGGTGCAGATGTATTCACAGAGCACTAACAGTGCGACAGAACCACGGGCAGAAAATTCACCCTAAAACACGGACAAAGCTTTTCTCAGCTCCAACACAATCCTCTCTCTGGGCAACTGATTGGGCCAAAAAGCCTTTCAGCTTTTTTCTGGGATGGGATGCAGGAATTAATCCTTACAGTTCTTTCTGGCTTCCCTGTGAGGGTGGAGAGGCCCTGGCACAAGGTTGCCCAGAGAAGCTGTAGTGCCCCATCCCTGGAAGTGTCCAAGCCCAGGTTGGATGGAGCTTGGAGAAACGTGAGATAATGGAATGTGTCCCTATGCATGGCAGGGGGTGGGGCTGGATGGGTTTTAAGGTCCCTTCCAACCTAAATCATTCTGGGATTCAAATTCCCTTCTACTCCCTGTGCCCTTCACAACATCCCCAAAGGATCTCATCCTAGCTCGAGAAACCTCCATACAGACTCCAGGCCTAACTTCACCTTCAGGGAAGCAGCAGGGGGAAAACCGTGCCAAAAAAAAAAAAAAAAAAAAAAAAAAAAAAAAAAAAAAAAAAAAAAAAAAAAAAAAAAAAAAAAAAAAAAAAAAAAAAAAAAAAAAAAAAAAAAAAAAAAAAAAAAAAAAAAAAAA